GGTGCAAGACAAACCAAGAAACATTGTAGGGTCTAGCACAAACCCTCATGGGAGTGGCATGCTCCATTTGGGGGATTTGGGGGTGTTTGAAAGCCAAGCCCAGCTGCTGGAACCCATGGAGACACCTTGTGCTGGTCCTGACCCACAGACCAGCCCCCTCCAGGTTTTGGGCAGTGGGGCAGGTTTTCCTCCAAACCGTCTTCTGGCAGGCATCTCCCCTGAGGACAGAAGGAGAGCAGGATCAGTGCTCCCCAGGGAGGGTTTTGGCTGGCTCCTTCCCGAGGATGCTGCACAAGAAAAGGAAAGCTTTCCTGCCTCTCCCTGCCACCGCTCAGCAGGGGCAGACCACAGTCTGGCACGGCGCTTGCAGCTCTTAGAAATCAGGGCTGTTAACAAATGTGCGAGGCCATAATCCTTTTGGAGCAGTGATGATAACAAGCCCCGATGCTTTTTTTTTTTTTTTGCTTTTTTTATTTTCTTTTTTTTTTTTTTTAACAAACAGCTGCGCCGGTAAGTCCCACTGTGGGAAATGAGATGGTGAATGATTTCAAGTGTAGTATTTACATCCCCTGCCAAACCCTTCACATCTGCCCAGCTCTGCCGTCAAGCCTCCATCCATCTGGCCAGGAACAGCAGGTCCTCCAGCCTGCCTGCATCTCACAAGGGCATTTCCTTCCTGTGCCCGCAGTGCCAGCTGCCAGGGATGCTGCTCAGCGGGGAAGAGCTTGAGCAAAAGCACTGAAAGGAGAGTAGGGTTGGTTTTTTTTATGTAGTGCATGTGAAATGAATTGCCAACATCTCTGAAAGCAATTACTTCCTGCCCAAGATCTCATGTGCTAAAGGGGTGATGAAATGTTCCTTGATTTTGTACCTCTTCCTTACAGCCCCCCCCACTGCTTCAGGGAGCCCAGGGGAGTTTGAAGTTGACTGGGGTGGGGGCAGTGGGTGCTGTGGCTCCTGGAATCCTCCAGCGGTGCTGCCCTGCCTGCTCCCTTCCTCTTCAAGTCCTGCAAATTCTTCATCACAGCACCCATGGGATGAGGCTGTTGCAGTGCCCATGGGTGGGTATCTTTGAGTGGGGACATCCCACGCTGCCTCCCTAGATCTGTAGAACACACTGCTTTGTGCACGAGTGGAGCTCCATCTCCACAGCGGAACTGGCTGTGACCGGGCCAACCCCTCTCTGGTGCCAACCCCTCTGTGCCCAAGTGACAGCTGCGTGCGCCCCCTCTGCCAAATACCACCTCTGTTTCAGGTCAGTGCAGTCTCTGGCTGGACGGGATGTTTGCTGGAGGTTCAGTTCCAGCTGCAGAGACGGTGGAGCCGTGCTGCGAGAGCTGCTAGCAGCCCGCGGTGCCTGCCCTGCTCCCCGCCGACACCCCAACATCGCCTGCGCCCGCTCTCCTCTCCCCTGACCCTCTTGTTGTGTGTTCCCCCCACAGAGTGCGATTGCCATCCCGTGGGCGCCGCCGGCCAAACCTGTAACCAAACCACGGGTCAATGTCCCTGTAAAGACGGTGTCACCGGCATCACGTGCAATCGATGTGCCAAAGGCTACCAGCAAAGCCGGTCTCCCATTGCGCCCTGCATAAGTAGGTGGATCACTCTTTTGATGTCTGTAGATTAGAGATATTAACCTTTATAAACCTGCAGGAGCCGCTCCCCAGGCTGGGTGGCTACTAATCCTGCTGCATACGTGCTGAGGGGCAGTGCGGGGGACGGGGCTGCCTGGGTACCCCTGCCAGCTGCACTGCCTGCAGTAGGGCATATAGTCCAAAACTCACCCCCAGCTTCCAAGTAGTTTGTCTGCTTTATGGGGTGGGTTGTGTGAGTACATCTACAACCCAATTTGCCAGTCATTTGATTTCGTTTCACAGAGCAAAGGTGCTCCAAGAGCACATTTTCTTTGCAGTACCACATCAGGTCTGGATGCTAAGACAGATCGCTATAAACAGGGTTTTTCTCTCCAAAATCAGGCTGTGCTGCACTAGTGCAGAGCTCAGATCAGAAGAGCTGATGGTTTGATGCTAAAGGGGATCTTACACTCACACAACCCACCCAGAAACATGTTTTACCACTTGCTTCCCTGGGTTTGCTTTTTAGTTTGTCTTCCCAAGGCTGCTCTCATCTTCTGCTCTTAAAACAACAGCAGCAAGCACCAGGTGCAGCTCCCAAAGTCTCTCCGTTGCAGCATTTGCTCTGCAAACACCCACTCCCCACTCAGCCCCTGTTGAGCACTTACTGCCTGGGCAAAGTGTGCTTTAGCCCAGTGCCTCTCTCTGCTGCCTGTTGGTTTTGTCAGTATCTCGTGCACCTTGCGAGAGACATCTCCACCTGCCCTAACGAAATGAAACATCAAAATAATGGTGCCTGGGACAGACTGGGAAGGAGGGGCTGCTCCCCTCAAGGTTGACTCCCTACTTCTAAAGGGGAAAAAATGCCCAATGGGAAAAGAAAAGTGAAGGTTGAAAGAATCAAGTCTTTGTTGGGAACCCATAGTCTGCTCCTGCATTGTCCCCTCGCAGCATCTGCCTCTCAGAATGGCCATTGCCAAATTATGGAGCAGATAACCTTTCTCCACCTTCTCCTGCTGTAGAAAACATACATTCCAGGGTGGTTTCTGGTCACTTGAGATTCATTCTTCTCCATGTCGCAATGGGACAGCAAGAGCTCAAACCAGATGCTTGTTTCCCCAAGATGTTACAGTCATGGCTCCGGTATGCTTTGCAGCAAGTATGCGCAAAGGTTTATCATTAATCATTCCCCAGGGTCATGGTAAATCACAGAGTAAATTGTTCCTTGCATCACCTCCCTTGGGATTCATTGCACTAAATAAAGACAGACACAGAATTTCAACACGGTCCAACCAGGCGTTCGGAGCCGGCTGTGCTCATGCCAGCTGCCCAACCGGGGTGCTCAAGGCTGCCTGCTGGTGTGAGCCTGGCAGGGCTGAACTGCCCTGGTTTAAACCCAGACACCATCCGGGCACCCATGAGAGCCCCTTACTTCTGTGTCACTGTAAAACATCTTCTCCAACAGGCCACAGCTTTTATTCAAAATGTGTTTCAAACAATGCTCTGGCCTGGCTATCAAGCCACTGAGCAGTTGTTGGAAGTTTAATCTGCACATACGATGCTAAAGCAATTAAATTGAGGATATGAGCAACTCACAATTCTCTCATCCTAGAAAAACCCAAACCAGCACATTTTCATCCTTGAAAAATGTCAGTCAGCATATATCTATGGGGGG